TTGGCGTGTCAGGGCTCCAACAAATCCATCCCCATTCAAACCATAAGTCTCTAGCCACATCCTTCCGAGTAAAAAAACATTGTGTTATTAGGAATGGCCATGTTGGCATTAGCTGGGTGCAGCCGACACTAAAATACATCATTCATTTCCCCCTTGACCCTGGTCTTCCCTCCACCCCCTGGATTCTCCAATGGGACACATCCATAGCCAAGAGTCATCAATCACACTCTCCAGTAATAATCTTGCCTGCCAACAGCTTTGGGCTGCCAAGGCGATTATCTGAGGCATTTGAGGAATGCACTGCTTTCCCCCCCATTCTCTTTCTGCTGGCAACTAAAAAGACCAAAGGAGTATTATTATTTTTTAGCTGACACTGTGCTTCTCAACCTTAGCAATTCTAATACGTGTGGACTTCAACTCCCAGAATTCCCCAGCCAGCCTTGCAAGGCTGGCTGGGGCATTCTGGGAGTTGAAGTCCACACGTTTTAGAATTGTTAAAGTTGAAAAAAAACACAGTTCTACACAGAAAGCTTCTGTATTTTCAGTAAGATGCCACTAGTGACAAAATAGTTTGAGCTCCCAATAACCAAAAGTATTTCAAGCTCAGACCAAGAAGGCCGCTGACAATTTTCTCGTGACCTGTACAATTTTGTAGATCTCTCACAACCAATTTTAAACTACCTTGGTGATTCTCATGGCCCTGGGACGCTGCAACAATTATAAATACGTGCTGGTTGCCAAGCACCCAAAATTTGATCGTATGGGACCATGGGGGCTGCCACAGTTATAACTGTGATGATGACCCAATCATAAGTCATTATTTTTAAGTGCGGTTGTAATTTTGCTAGGCAAATGGTCAGTGGTCAAAAACTACCTACCCTCCTGACACCTCCTTTGCTTATTTCTGTCCCACCTGTAGATCAGCGTGGACAGAGGGTTGAAGTGGGAGGAGGTCTATGAGAAGTCACTTCACCTGACGGGCCCTCATGATGGCTTCTACCTGTCCCACAAGGTAAGGAAAATGGGTGGGGATGGAGTGGGGAGGGTCTGATGGAAATGTTGGGGTAACAGTTTTTCCACAAGGGGAGAGGTTGGCAAGGATCTTCATCAGAAATGAAAATCTTTCCTTTTTAGTTATTCTGCTGAAGGGCTTTGAGGAGGAGGAGGAGGTTATTCTAGCAAATATTCCATTCTATTCTATTCCATACCACACCACCCACTCCCTCCCTTCCTTCCTTCCTTCCTTCCTTCCTTCCTTCCTTCCTCCCTCCCTCCCTCCCTTTCCTCCCTCCCTCCCTCCCTCCCTCCCTCCCTCCCTCCCTCCCTCCCTTCATATAACCGCCTGCAGTCCTGTTTGCATCAGCAGTGCCTCACAACTGTTTATTCCTATTCCAAGTTCTCTTGTGAGGCAACTAAGGCAGAAATAGATGACATGGTATCCAACCATGATTTGAACTCCAGTTTTCACAATCCTGGGTTCTAACTGGCTGACATCGATGGCTCAAACATCTGCAGTAGAAGGAGGTTGCCTCTCCCTCCTCAGCAGAATGGAGGGGACCCAGTACCTCAGAAGGACGGAAGGCTGAGTCAACCTTGAGCCAATGAGGATCGAACCTCTGGCTGCGGGGCAGAGTTAGCCTGCAATACTGCATTCTAACCCCTGTGCCGCCACCACAGCACTTAGGGAAGGTCCAGCCTGTGCCACTTTCTGCAGCACAAGGATTCTAAACTTGACCCCCTCTTTAACGCCTCCCTCCACTCTAGTTGGAGATTCTGCTCTATACTCTCTGCTCAAACCACTTTGGATTGTGTGGTCATTCCACTTCAGGCTTGCTGATCAATGCCGGCTTTTTAAGGATCTCATTTGCTGTGTGTTGAGCTCATTCACCTACATGTGAGTTCAGGTTCCTAATCTGCAGTACCTGTTTGTTCTTTTGGGGGGGGGCACCACTCTCTCTCCCCCCCCCCCCCCCACTCCCTAAACTAACTGCGAGCACTGTGCCCCCTGTAGGTTCGAGGAAACAAATACATTTGCCTCCTAGCCGAACAGACCCGTGGGAAATACTTCACCCTCTACAAGCCGAACATCGGCAAACAGAGTCAGCTGGAGACCATGGATAGCCTTTTGAAGAAGTACCAGCCGGTAAGGCCCGTCCTGCAGCTGTGGTGGCTGTGACTGCAGATCCCATTTTTTTCCCCTCCGCCATTCCTTGATGGTCCCTTCTCGCCGGTCTTTCCTGCAGGTATCGCCAGTGGATGCTCAGCCCCACTGGGAGAGCAGTTACGACTTCTCCCTGAAACACTGCAACCACGCCGTATGGTAAGTCACCTTCAAGGGTTGCTCCAAAGACAGAACCATTGAGAAAACAGAGGCAGTCTAGTTTCTTAGAGAGACAACGAAGACAACGAGGTGCACATTGTCAGATTGTTAGGCCAGGGTGGACGCCCTTCTAAATGGCGGCGTTGATAGAGTTATAAGGTTTACCGATAATCCTCAAAGCCTGACCCTTCCGTTAATTTAATTAATTAATTCAAAATTACAACAGTGCTGAAAAAAAAGGGGGGGGATGTAGACTGTCACAGTGTCCCTGCGGTGACAACCAAAATAGGCTGCTTGGCAACTGGTATATAGAGGAAATCCTCACGTTATGACAGTAATGGCGCCTGCCCATTGCTGTGGGAAGTCAAGATGAATGTTGCATGAGCCCCGTCATTAAACGATTCCCCCTCATCCCTTCCCTCCCCATCACATGTTGTTAAATGAATCCATGTATTGTGCATGGGGTGCCTCGGGGATGCATGCCTTGGGCCTCCCAAGGCCTTCCCCCCCACCCCGTGATAACCCATACTCCACTTTCCGACCCCTTGGTGTCCCCACAGCCACTTCGGCCTCCTCTGCCCCTCACAACCGCTCAGACTGACTCAGCTCCCCAACCACAACAAGCCCTCTGCACTTAATCATCGATTCCTTTTTTTAGGAGCGCACGGCAAAAAGTTTATCTCACACAGCAGGCTAACAAGTCCGTCCAGTCGGGAGATGAATAGTTGTCTGCCACATCTATCCCATCTCCACCCCCTGCCTTTTATCCCCAGAGCTATAGGGTGGGGCTTCGCTAGCAGAGGTGGCTCTTCCATCCCGAGGACCGGCCCATAGGTTTCCACTGCTCTCCTCTCCTCTGCCGTCTGTGCATCCGCGCCTCAGGCAGTGGACCCAGCTGTCCCTCCTCTTCCTCATCAGCCACCTCCAGACCTGGGGGCTGTTGACTCTCCATCTGAGGGCTGATGGATGGCCAAGGCACCACTTTTGTCTCTCTCTCTCTCCCTCTCTCTCTCTCTCTCTGAGCCCCATCAAAAAAGACACTGCTTTTTTTCCTGCTCTCCTTCCCTTCTGTGTGGCCTGTCAGCCGCCGGCCTCTTCGGCAGCCAAATCAGAGTCCGAATCAGCATCAAGGCAACTGGAGAGCTCCATTCCCTCTTCTCCCTCGGAGCTCTCAGGTTGCCTTGATGCTGAAGAGGCCGGCGGCTGACAGGCCACACAGAAGGGAAGGAGAGCAGGAAAAAAAGCAGTGTCTTTTTCAATACAGCCATTCATGCAGCCTAGCAGCATGTTGAGGGAGGCGGCGTGAAAAGAGGGACCAGCCTAGAATCCTTGCATAGCCACAAAGGAGTGTTGTTGACTCTTCTCTGACTCTAAGCAAATGCCAAACTGTTAATTGATTCAGACTTTTGCAGCGTAATTTCAGCGCCAGAAAAGTAAACACAGATGGCTGAAGACTTCATTTCACTTCTTTATAAACACCAAGTAAATTTTGCAAACCATTTGTAGATTTCTCCAACATGGAGCAAATTCAAACAGAAGCAGACATGTTTACAGGTTCAGAGGAGAGCTCTAGTTTTCGGCAAGCAAGCAAATTACACAGCAGAGGAGAGAAGCGGTTTCATTTTCAATAGACGTACTCCGAGCTTAACATAGCTTCAGAGCTGCAGAGCTTAATATAGAGCCACGCCTAGGCTACTTCTAGTTTCAGTTTCCAAACAGTCCTCCTTGGCTGACTTAGTTGCTATGCCTATTCATTGGCTGACCTTGTTACCAAGCTCTGTTCCAGTTCATGAATATACTCTTGACAACATTCTTGTGCGACAGCTACAGCAATAGATCAGTTTAATTGAAGATTCACGGGTGGACATGAACTTTGACACCTGACTCTGTGTTTTCTTCCTTGTGTTTCCTTTTCTTCCCCTCTCCCCCAACCTTCCCTACTAATAAACCCCCACCCCCACCCCTACCCACCCCCAGGAACAGGAACTGCAAGGTTGTCCAGGAGGGGAAGGAATGTTTCCAAGGCGCGCGTTTACGCCACTATTACATGCTGTGCGGGGCTCTCTTGCGCGTCTGGACCAAAATCGCCAGCATCATGGCTAACATCACCAATACCAGCTATCTGCAGATTGTCCGCCTCAAGACCAAAGAGAAGAAGAAGCAAGTTGGTGAGTGGCCAACTCAAAACAGTTCTCCTTGGGGGCAAAGGGTGGAATCTCCTCACTCCCAGATCCTGACAATCAATTGCCGGATTTGAAAGTGGCCCCTAAGGCCATGGGAACCTGGTTGAGAGAGACAGAGCAGGGATGCAGAGTAAGGGATAGAAAAGAGAGCAGTCAATTAATAGCAAGAAAAAAAAGTGTGAGCTCAACTCATAGCCAGACACTCAGCTTGGTCAGAATGTTTCAAGGTATTCAAGGAATCTTTACCTTAGCAACATAAATGTACTGTCAGGGCTCCAACAAATCCACCCCCATTCAAATCATAAGTCTCTAGCCACATCTCTCAGAGAGAAAAATAATTGATTTATTAGAAGTGGCCATGTTGGCGTTAGCTGGGTGCAGCCGACACTAAAATACACCATTCATTTCCCCCTTGACCCTGGTCTTCCCCCCAGCGTCTGGATGTATATTCTCCAATGGGACACATCCATAGCCAAGAGTCATCAATCCTGCTCTCCAGTAATAATCTTATGTGCCAGAAGCTTCGGCTGCCTAGCAATTATCTGAAGCATATAAGGAATGCACTGCTTTCCCCCCACTCCCTTTCTGCTGACGACTAAAGACCAAAGGAATATTATTATTATTTTAGTTGACGTGGCTTTTTTTGGAGTAGGAGCTATACTTTTTATTAAGGGTTTTGATTATAATACAGGTGCTCCTCGACTTACCAACAGTTCATTTAGTGACTGTTGGAAGTTACAAGGGCACTGAAACAAGTGACTTATGACCGTTTTTCACACCTAAGACCGTTTCAGCATCCCCATAGTCCCGTGCTCAAAATTCAGACACTTGGCTCATATTTATGACAGCTGCAGTGTCCCAGGACCAGCTTTTATGCCCTTCTGACAAGCAAAGTCAATGGGGAAACCAGATTCGCTTAACAACCTGTGAGACTAACTTAGCTGCCCTAATTCAGTTAACAACTGTTGGCAGGAAAGGTTGTAAAATGGAGCAAAACTCACTTAACAAAGGTCTCACTTAGCATCAGCTTAGCATCAATGAAAATGGCACACAGCTCTCCCGAACACGGTTGTAAGTCGAGGACCAGCTGTTTTTCCAGGTTTCTCCCCCTCATTCCTCGCTGACTGGCTTCCTTCCCTTCCTTTCTCTGTAACCCGGATCCTGGGAGCCTCAGCCTCCTATCGGGGTCACGAGAATCTAAGCCACAGTTACATCCTCTAGTTCAGCGATCCCAACTGGTGGTCTGTGAGAAAATTCTGCTGGTCCGCAGAAAAATTATTTGCATTTTTTTAATATTGCACTAAATCAGGGGTCCTCAAAGGACGGCCACTGGGCCAGATACGCGCAATGAACGTTTGTGTTGCTGCAGAGATTTTCCCCCTTCGGGGTCTATTTGTGTGGGTCGGAGGGGGCCAGAAATTCCCACTTGGGGTCTGCTTCAGCCTCCCTGTGTGGGGCTTTGGCCGAAGGCTGGAGGGCCTCGTCCCAGTGGGACTGCATCATGGCCTGGAACTGGCTGACCATCTCAACCCCCTCCAGGCACCACCGGGACCTGGCCTTGAACTCCCGCAGGTCTCCCCTCTGCTTGGAAAGCCTTTGCTCGTAGTCCTCAGTGAGGAGCTTTTGCTAAGCGTCCTTCTCAGTCAGATCCAGTTTGAACGGAGCCAGCTGTTTTGCCAACTCTTTCTCCTGGTGGCTGCTTAGCTCCAACCACTGCTTCCTGTTGGGGCCCTAAGGAGCCCGGGCGGGCAGGGGAGGCGTGGCTGGGAGGGGAGGGGCAAGTAGAGGCCATCAAGGTGCCCCTCGACGTGAGTGACATGGAGTTGGCCACATCCACCCAGTCACATGACCACCTAGCCATGCCAGTCATTTGGCAGATCATATTAGTGGTCCACGGGATTTAAAATTATGAATTTAGTGGTCCCGGAGGTCCGAAAAGTTGGGGACCCCCCTGCTCTAGTTGGGATCCTGCGGAGAAGGGCGAGTGGAGTTTGAGTGTCTTGCGTCCTGCCGAAAGTTGACTCGGTACGTTTTATCCAGAGGTGGTATTCAGCCGGTTCGAACTGGTTCTGGTGTAACCGGTAGTGGAAATTCTGACTAGTTTGGAGAACCGGCAAATGCCACCTCTGGCTGGCCCCGCTGTTAGCTCTCCTGTATTCCCTTGGTTTTTAGCTCAGCTGAATCGTGCGGCGGAGCGGATTGCCGCGCTTCAGCTGAGCTAAAAAAAAACACCCGCTCAGCTCACTCACCAGCGTTCAGATAGAGGACGGTGTTTGAGTCCTGCATGCACGCAGAAAGCGCGCGCGCATCGAACCACTCATCGAACCGGCATTTATTTAATTTAATTACATTTTAATTCCGTTGCACGAGGTGCGATGACAATAAAGCAAACTAAACTAGGGAAAAAATGTGGACACCCACCCACTCGTTTTATCCCTTCTTGCAGGAATCAAGATACCGGAGAATTGTGTCCATCAGGTGCTGAAGGAGTTGAAGCAGATGGACGAGAACGTCAAGCAGAAGCAGAAGCAGACCTCAGCCATGTTGGCCCCCATGAGGCCCGGCCAGCCCTTCCCGCCGCTCGTCCCTCCGCTGGACCTCAGCCAGCCTGCAGGGTTTCTCTCCGCCCAGCACTCTTCCTTGCCGCAGAATGAGGTCTGGGATCTGACCAACAGCCCACCCGAGGAAGGCCTTCCCAACTTCTGGACGCACCCGTCTCCTCCTCCTCCTCCTCCTCCTTCGCTGCACCCCCATCTCCCCCCAGCCCCCTCCCAGTTCAACTTCCACGCTCCCTACGACAACGCGGGGCTGGTGGGCAGCCTGGAGCTCAGCGGCTCCCCTTCCCAGCACCACGAACCCTTGGCCCCGACGCCGGCCCTCCCGCTTCCCCTGGCGGACAGTTTCTCCCCGGCCAGCCTGAACTTCCGAGAACTCTTGGAGGAGATGATGCTGAACCCCCAGGGTTTGGGGGCCGAGAGCAGTGAGCAGGAGCGCCAGAGCGTCATCCAGTTCAGCGGACCCCTCTCTAACCTCTATGATGCCAGCTGAGGTGGGGAGGGGGGAGAAGAGGGGGGGCTCCTTTACACCGGGTTTTTTAATCCTGGGTTGGAATGGACCACTTTGCGAAAATAGGGGGGAGGGGCGGGCAGAGAGAACTCTAGTTAACAGAAACAAAAGTATATAT